GGTATTACGTATTTGGTTTCTTTATTTTCTTTATTTTTTTGTTGTTTCTTTCGATTTACAATTATTTATTTATTCAGTTTCTCAAATGTTCGTTTCTTCAAATTTTCATGTTTGATTTTCACTTTTAACATTTTTCAATTTTACAGTTTCTTGACTTCTAAATTCTTCAATTTTTCGAATTGCACTTTTTTAAATTTTTCGATATTGCAGTTTCTCATTTTTCGATGTTTCACAGTTTTTTGTCATTTTCAATTTTTCAAATTCTCGATTTTTATTTTTCATTTTCTCTATTTTTTTAATTTTCATTTTCTCGGTTTTAAGTCACAAATTTTCATTTTTTCAATTCCTTTATTTCTTGTTGTTTCTTTCGATTTTTCAATTTTTCGAATTTTCACTTTCTCAATCTTTCGTTTCCACAATTTTTCATGTATTTTTCAATGTGGCGAATTTTTAATTTTTATTTTCTCGATTTATATCACAATTGTCCGTTTTTTCATTTCCTTTATTTTCTTCGATTTTACAATTTATCATTTGTTTAATTTTTCAAATTTTCAGGCTTTGAATTTTCAGTTTCATTTTCCCGATTTTTTAATGTTCACTTTTTCAATTTAATATCACAATTTTTCGTTTTTTCATTTTCTTTATTTTTTGTTGTTTCTTTGGATTTTACAATTTTTGGTTTATTCGATTTTTCAAATTTTCAGTTTTTTTTCAATTTTTCTTCAAATTTTCAAGTCTTATTATACTTACACTTGTTCGCTTTTTTATTTTTGATTTTTCAATTTTACAGTTTGTCGACTTCCAAATTTTTCAATACTACAATTTCTCATTTTTCCATTTTTCACATTCTCGATTTTTAATTTTTCCCTTTTTCAATTTTTCGTCCCTAAATTTTCCAACTCCTCGATTTTTATTTTGCATTTTCCTGATTTTTTAATTTTCATTTTCTCGATTTTATATCACAATTTTTTGTTTTTTCATTTTCTTAATTTTTGTTGTTTCTTTCGATTTTCCAATTTTTCAAATTTTCAGGCTTTGAATTTTCAGTTCGTCCATTTTTCAATTTTTAAATTTTTACTTTGCAGTTTTTGGATTTCCAGTCTTTCGATTTTCCAATTTCTTTAATTTTCAAATTTTCGTTTCTTCAAATTTTCATGTTTGATTTTCACTTTTGACATTTTTCAATTTTACAGTTTCTTGGCTTCTAAATTTTTCAATTTTTTAATTTTGCAATTTTTCGATATTGCAGTTTCTCATTTTTCGATTTTTCACATTCTCAGTTTTTAATTTTTGTCATTTCCAATTTTTCAAGTTCTCGATTTTTAGTTTTCATTTTTCCGATTTTTTTTTAATTTTCATTTTCTCGGTTTTAAGTCACAAATTTTCATTTTTTCAATTCCTTTATTTCTTGTTGTTTCTTTCGATTTTTCACATTCTCAGTTTTTAATTTTTGTCATTTTCAATTTTTCGTTTCCTCAATTTTTCAAGTTCTCGATTTTTATTTTTCATTTTCCCGATTTTTTTAGTTTTCATTTTCTCGGTTTAATGTCACAAATTTTCATTTTTTCGTTTCAATTTTTCGAATTTTCAGTTTCTCAATTTTTCGTTTCCACAATTTTTCATGTTCCCGATTTTTATTTTCCAATGTGGCGAATTTTTATTGTCCGTTTTTTCATTTCCTTTATTTTCTGTGTTTTTTTCGATTTTACGATTTTTCATTTGTTCAATTTTTCAAATTTTCAGTTCGTCCATTTTTCAATTTTTAAATTTTTACTTTGCAGTTTTTGGTTTTCCAGTCTTCCGATTTTCCAATTTCTTTAATTTTCAATATTTCCATTTTATAACACATATTTCTTTTTTTTTATTTTTCACTTTTTTTGATTCTCTAAGATTTTTCCAGTTTTCATTTTGTAATTTTTCAATATTACAGTTTTTCATTTTTCGATTTTTCAGTTTTTCAATTTTTTATTTTTCCCTTCTCCAATTTTTTGTTTCCGATTTTTATTTTTCATTTTCCCGATTTTTAAATTTTAACTTTTTCGATTTTATATCACAATTTTTCGTTTTTTCATTTCCTTTATTTTTTGTTGTTTCTTTCGATTTTACAATTTTTCGTTTATTCGATTTTTTTTTCAACTCCCCGATTTTCATTTTGCATTTTCCTGATTTTTATTTTTCATTTTCTCCATTCGATTGTTCAATTTCTCAATTTATCAATTTCTCAAATTTTTTTCTATTTCTCGATGTTTCAATTTTTGGATTTCTCGGTTTTTCGATTTTCCAATTTTTCGATGTTTCGATTTTTAATTTTTTTTTTATTCTTTGATGTCTGGATTTCTCCATTTAGATTTTTCGATTTCCGGATTTTTTGATTTTCCAGATCTTCAATATTTCTATTTTCCAATTTTTCAAATTTTGACGTTGCTAAATTTTCAGTTTTCCGATTTTTCAATTAATATATTTTTTTTTGATTTTCCCGTTTCTCGAATTCTGAGTTTCGATTTTTTAGTTCTTCAATTTTTCGATTTTTGGATTTTTCGGTTGGCTAATTTTTTAAAGTCTCGATTTTGGGTATTTGTTTCAGTTTTGGGATTTTTCAATACATATTTCTAATTTTCCATTTTTTATTTTTTGGATTTTCCATTTTTTTTTTATTTTCAATATTTCTATTTCATAATACATATTTTTTTTTATTTTTTCACTTTTTCGATTTTTAAGATTTTTCAAGTTTTCATTTTGTAATTTTCCGTTTTTTATTTTTGAGTTTTCAATTTTACAATTTCTCGACTTCCAAAATTTTCAATTTTTCGTTCCTTCAATTTTTCGGTTTGCATCAGTTTTTCATTTTTCCATTTTTCAGTTTCTCAGTTTTTAATTTTTCCCTTTTCCAATTTTTTGTTTCCGATTTTTATGTTTCATTTACCCGATTTTTTAATTTTCACTTTTTCGATTTTATATCACAATTTTTCGTTTTTTCGTTTCCTTTATTTTTTGTTGTTTCTTTCGATTCTGCAATTTTTCGTTTATTCAATTTTTCAAATTTTCAGGTTTTTTTCAATTCTTCTTCAAATTTTCAAGTTTGGTTTTCACTTTTTACATTCTTCAAGTTTTTATTATACTTGCACTTTTTCGTTTTTTTATTTTTGATTTTTCAATTTTACAGTTTGTCGACTTCCAAATTTTCCAATTTTTCAAATATTACAATTTCTCATTTTTCCATTTTTCACATTCTCGATTTTTAATTTTTCAATTTTTCGTCCCCTAAATTTTTCAGCTCCTCGATTTTTATTTTGCATTTTCCTGATTTTTTTATTTTTCATTTTTTCGATTTTATATCACAATTTTTTGTTTTTTCATTTCCTTAATTTTTGTTGTTTCTTCCGATATTCCCATTTTTCGTTTATTCAATTTTTCAAATTTTCAGGCTTTGAATTTTCAGTTCGTCCATTTTTCAATTTTTAAATTTTTCGCTTTGCAGTTTTTGGATTTCCAGTCTTCCGATTTTCCGATTTTCTTTAATTTTCAATATTTCTATTTCATAATATATATTTCTTTTTTTTTTTTCACTTTTCGGTTCTTAAGATTTTTCAAGTTTTCATTTTGTAATTTTTCGCTTTTTATTTTTGATTTTTCAATTTTATAATTTCTCGACTTCCAAAATTTTCAATTTTTCGTTCCTTCAGTTTTTCGGAAACTTGGCAATTTTTCAATATTACAGTTTTTCATTTTTCGATTTTTCAGTTCCTCAATTTTTGATTTTTCCCTTTTTCGATTTAATATCAGAATTTTTCGTTTTTTCATTTCCTTTATTGTTTGTTGTTTCTTTCGATTTTACAATTTTTCGTTTATTCGATTTTTCAAATTTTCAGGCTAATCGATTCCATTTCGTCGATTTTCCAATTTTAAAATGTTTCAGTTTGCAGTTTTTGGGTTTCCACCCCCTTTTTACTTTTCGGATTTTCAATTTTTCATTAAACTTAAGTTTTTACAAATTTTCGAGAGTTTTGTACTTCGATTTCTTAATTTTTTTCAACTTTTCGATGTTTTTTTTTTTTTTAATTTTTCATTTTTTTTTATTTCTCGATTTATCGAATTCAGATGTTTGCATGTTTTGATTGTTCAATTTCTCAATTTATCAATTTCTCATTTTTTTTCTATTTCGATTTTCCAATTTTTCCATGTTTCGATTTTTCAGTTTTTCTATTTTTAAGTTTTAGATTTTCCAATTTTTCTTTTTTGATTCTTTGATGTTTGAATTTCTCCATTTTTAAATTTTGCGATATTTCAATTGTTCAATGTTTTAAATTTTACATGTTTCGATTTCTGGATTTTTTGATTTTCCAGTTCTTCAATATCTCTATTTTCCAATTTTTCAAATTTTGACGTTGCTAAATTTTCAGTTTTCCGATTTTTCAATGAATACATATTTTTTTATTTTCCGGTTTCTCGAATTCGCAGTTTCGATTTTTCAGTTCTTCAGTTCTTCGATTTTTGGAATTTTCGGTTGGCTAATTTTTAATTTTCGATTTTGTATATTTGTTTCAGTTTTGGGATTTTTCAATATTCCTATTTTTCGATTTTTCGATTTTTTAATTCTTGTATATTTTTCCTTTTTCCGAAAGTTTTATTTTTCGATTTTTCAATTTTTTTATAACTCGATTTATCGAGTTGAACATCAAAATTACTATCAACGGAGATGTTTCAAACAATTTTCAGGAGAATACAAAGCCACAATGATAATAGACGTCGTTTTCTATAATTAAGAGAGATTTTTGTAGAAAAAACATCAACTTGAAGCCAGAAATTGATTGCTCTCACCGTACGTAGTATACCAAAATTGTGCTAAAAGTAGCGTTAAAAATAGAATACCGATATCGGAACCTTAGACACCAGTTGCCGATACTTGTTGATCATATGCCCGCCAATCAACACTTCAGTCGAATTCAAATCGACCAATCGCGCCGCTTCTTTCCGCCGTCACTAATTAAAAACATATGTCATGTCACAACACACTGCTAACCTCAAATAAACAAAACTTTTTCTTTTATAATTTTAAACAATGTAAATAAAGTGGCAGTTATGTCGAACACAGACTTAGTACAGTGTAAATTCTGCAAAATTCCGCTCCCTAGTAGTGCATGGGGCCATCACGTCTACGGAAACGAACACGTGAAAAATACCCCGGCCGGACTCCTCATCAGAGGTTTGTAAGCTCCAAATTCGGGCACCGTTTAAAAAATAAATTTCCAGGAATCTTGGAAAAGTGGCAAATCGACGAAGCGCATGAATATTTCGGACAGTTTGGTACAATCAAAACGAAACGTGTGGACGTAATTGACGCGAAAAAGAACCTAGTTTTATTATATTATGATTTTCAGCATCGAATATCCCATTCGGTTATTGCGCACCAAGATCACACACTGTTTGGCAACAAAATGACAATCTTGTGGAAGGTGAAGAACACGACGAATTTAAAAGCGGACACAAGTAAGTGGTAAAACAAGTAGAAATAAAGAAGTAAGCAAAATGTGTCTGTTTATTCCCTGCAAAAACATTGTGACGTCGTTTTTTTAGTAGAAATTTTGATAAAACAACGCTATTTTAGAAGTTATATAAGCCTCAACAATTCGCTCTGGATTTCTATCCCCAAAATAAAAAAAAGTTCCACCCAAATAATCAAAATTAAATAAAATCTCTTCTAGCTTCAAGCGACTTTTGAAAGTTTCCCACTCCAGATTATTAGAGAACGGTTGTTGAGGCTCCAGGTACGTTGTTCATACTGAAGCAAGTCATAGTTTCTCCCGCGATTTTATTTGTACTTTCAGTTCGTAAAAATTTATACTGATGTCATTTTTAGACACGACGCAAGAAAACGACGACATTAGTGAAAATGGTGCAACTACCCCTCTAAGCTCTCATGTTCCAGAAGTGGAAGAAAACGGTGGCACTATTTAAAAAATAGTGTTGACAGATTCTAATTCTATTCATTTCTAGATGCGACCAATGACAAAATCACTACGTATGAAGTTAATTCTTCCGGCCAGTTCGTCATCGCGAAGAGTGACGAAGAATCCCGACACAATTCCGAAACGCTTGAAGACGGTGAAATTATTTACGACGAACTGGAAAATCGTCTGCACTGTGTGAACAGTCGGGGCAGAGATTCTAGATCTAGTTCTAGTTCGTACGATGGACGGCGCAGACGCTCTAGATCCAGATCACGATCGAAATCGCACGAACGAAGAAGACCGAAGCGGGCACGAAGAAGAAGTAGGAGTCCCCGACCGAGAAAAAAATCGTTTTTGGAGGAAATTCGGGATAAGTTGAACGCACTCGGTAGTCCCGGGATGCCGGCAGCTAATTCTTATAGTTTGTCTGGGTTTAACGTGTCTTATCCAGCCCCTCCTCCACTTATTTATCAACTGGGGGAGACGGAAGTACCACAGAGTGACCCAGGACTGTTAACTAGTACCCAAAGTAGTACTAAGCAAACACCGCAACACTTGAATAAAGTAAGTACTCAGACTCGAGTTTGCTTAAAATAATACCCGTTGTAGCTTCTCGCTGACAAGAAAATCAGTCTTTCTGATTATCTAGCCATCCTAGGAAAAAATGTCCAATCGCAACCAAACAAGAAAAAAAACAAAAGTAAGTACGTTTTTTTTTTAATTATATATGAAATAAGCCGCCTTGGTACCACTTTCAGTACTCTCTCAATGTAAAGAAGCCCTCAGAGTTATGAACAACCAACACCTCAAAAAGCTTCGTTTACCACCACCAACGCCACCTAAACCCCAACTATTCACATCCCCCCTAGTCAAAAACGTGGTCAAGTTTAGTTTTACTTCACCTTTGAAAAGTCCCGCGAGAAGTCCATTCGCGGACTCCCTCCTCAAGATTCTCGATTTCGTCGGATTTTTGAAAGAGCCACACGACGTTCAAGCTCTTATTGACTCAGTTGCCCACGATTTGACTTCCGGTGCCATTATTAACGACGAAATCGCGGCGAAAATGCTGCAGATTTCGTTGCTAAGTTCGGAATGTGGTAATAACGAAAGTAAAAAACGGGTGGCAAGCGTGGGCACGCAGTGTATAGAACGAAGAAACGTGGGTGTGCAAATCAAGTTTTTACCAAAGACTTTAACCAAGACTGAGTACGTGTTAGGAAGCAAAAATCGATCTGAAGAAAATGGCAAGAAATTAAGACAAACGCGCAAGTGTTGATTTGTTAAAGAGTGATATTTTAATTGTTCTACTATTTTTGTATATTTTTGGAAGTACAGATTAAGTTTTTTGGGGTTTTTTACTCCCGGGGGGTTTTAAGTTACCGGCGCCGGTGGTTTAGACACTGCGCGCTCTCTAATCTGATTGGGCTTAAAAGGCGCGAAGTTCTTTTGAACCAATGAGCTGCGGCGCGGGATGTAGTGGCCAATACGGAGGCGCCTGAGTCACGTGGTTCTCACAAACCGAGAACCACTAAAGTGGTTGTTTGTTTATATTTTAAACAATCAGTTTGAAAAAAGTTGGTAAAGTACGGCTATTTTTTCAAATGACGGTCGCTAGAAATTCGTGGAGTGGTGGTTTTACGTGATAAAAATAATCGAAATGTGGAAGTGCCACCTTATCAACTTCATATCCATTTCACCCACAAATTGCTGATTTAGTTGAAATAAATTGTTATTAAACGTGAAGTGGTGGTGATTTTGTGTAAACTGGGTCCTGACATTGATGGACAAGCTTTCAAATATGCTCTAAAATGGGTGAACAAGTCGATTGTGAGTACTTTTTACAAATACGTGCTTTTTAGTAGTTGTGAGAGGTAGGCAACCAATTATACACCATCTTTCAGCCGACTATTCCACCCTCACCGCGCGCATTATCAGCACCCTCCGCCAAAAAACCTTCCCTTTCGCCCAACAACTCGACATTCTGCAGGACGTGATCCAATCCAAAACTGCCACCAATCGGGACCACGTCCTCGACGATTTAACAACCCTTCTGGTCCCCGTTTACCCCGGAATCGAAATCCGCCTCTTCGGGTCCGCCGCCCTAGACCTCGACGTCCCCGGCAGCCCCCTTGATGTCTACGTCGGGAACGTGGAAATCACCACAACCGAACAAACGTCGTTACAACTACTCCGCACCGTTATTTCCTGTTGCGGCAAATTCGATAACATTTTGGTGACCGCAAGAGGCCAATTTCCGCAGCTGAAATGCAGACACACCGCAACTCAGATAACGTGCTTTTTGAGCATAAACAAGTCGGTCATGCGCAGCACGGAATTAATCAAGTATTACTTAAGTCTGGATGAGAAAATTCGCCCCTTGTTGTTGACGCTTAAATTCTGGGCTAAGTACCACGGGGTGGTACAAGAGCAGGGGTTTTCCACCTACGTGTTGTACCTTCTAGTGGTTTTTTATTTACAACAAGAACCGTACAAGCTTCCAGGGTTGGTAAGTCTGCGCGAAGAAGAACATACATGGTGTACCCCTAACGAAATGGAGTTTCCCGACCTAAAAAACGCAACGATTTTTGAGTTAGTGAGCGGGCTTTTTAAATTTTACGACACGTTTGACTACGTTTCGTACGTGGTGGCCCCATTTTGTGGGTTGGCTTTAGACAAGACGTGTTTTTTGAAACCGTGTGTACTACCGTCATGTTATGGTCACTACATTGATTTAAAAAAAATCTTGGATGTGGATTGTGGGATGTGCGTTCAAGATCCGTTCAACCTCGCGTTGAATTTTTTAAACGGAACCCCACTCACTTCCGGCGGGAATTTTACGTCACAATGTCGCAACTCTCTGATTACTCGAGAATGCCCCTTTTTGACGAGCATGTTGCGTCTTTCCGAAAATCAACGTTTCACGATTAATAAGCTTGAGGGGTTTACAGAGGACGAATGGGCGAGTTGCGTGATCAAAGTAACTTCTTCGATTCTAGACAGAATTTGCGGGTATCAGATGAAAGTCGTGCGAGTCAAACCTCACCAATATCTGTACAACTGTAGCGGATTAAATATGGACGATTTTTGGGAAAGTCGTGTCCAGGTTTTGAAAGATTTGCAGTCGGAGTGGTCCGCTGGTTCGAGTGAAATGTGTAAAGAGATTGATGTGACGACGAGTTATATTAGGGCGCGGTCCAAGCAAGAGACGTCGAAGAAGTCTGGGGTTATTATTGAAGTTAAGTTTGGGAATAATCCGGGGCGGGTGGATGTGTGTTTTAAGAAGTTGGATGGAGATACGCACTTTGAGCACTATTTTCGGGTGAAAATGGTGGCGTTTTTGAAGGAGATGGCCATGAAGAAGTATTTGTCGGGGCAGGATGGGGCGAAAGCTGCGCAAGGTAGGTAGTTGTAGTAGGTGAAGTATTTGAAAAAGGCGGCACAATGTCTGTCTGTCTGTCCGTCTATTTTTGTTAGACACGCAATCTCCGAAATTGCTGAATCGATTGTTGTCAAATTTTAATTGATTTTTGAATGTTATAGAAAAATATACTCCTGTACTTGTAATATACGAATCCGCTTTCAGTTTCTTTGCTAATTGTTCACATTTTTTGGAAAATTTTTGGAAATTTTGATTTCACTTTTCGTGCTTATTGGAACAGATGTGGTGGCGATTTTTGATTCGTAACCAGCGGAAGCTTATCTACAATTTGACACCAATTTTCGGTCGATTAAACCAATTTTAACCACTTTTTTGGAAAATTTTTGGAAATTTTGGATTCACTTTTCGTGTTTATTGGAGCAAACATCGTAACGGCGATTTCAGATTCGTAACCAGTGGAAGATTATCTACAATTTGACACCAATTTACGGTAAATTGAACCAATTTTTACCACCTTTTTGGAAAATTTTTGGAAATTTTGAGTTCACTTTGTGTGTTAATTAGAACAGATATCGTTACGGAGATTTCAGATTCGTAATTAGCGGAAAATTATCTACAATTTGACACCAATTTTCGGTCGACTAAACCAATTTTAGCCACTTTTTTGGGAAATTTTTGAAAATTTTGAATTCACTTCGTGTGTTAATTAGAACATATATCGTGACGGCGATTTTAGATTCGTAACTAGCGGAAGATTATTTACAATTTGACACCATAGATAATCTTCCACTGGTTACGAATCTGAGATCGCCATCACGATATCTGTTGTAATTAACACACAAAGTGAATTCAAAATTTCCAAATATTTTCCAAAAAAGTGGTTAAAATTGTTTTAATCCACCGAAAATTGGTGTCAAATTATAGATAATCTTCGGCTAGATACGAATCTGAAATAGCCGTCACGATATCTGTTCTAATTAACACACAAAGTGAATTCAAAATTTCCAAAAATTTTCCAAAAAAGTGATTAAAACTAGTTTAATCGACCGAAAATTGGTGCCAAATTGTAGACAATCTTCCGCTAATTACGAATCTGAAATCGCCGTAACGATATCTGTTCTAATTAACACACAAAGTTAATTCAAAATTTCCAAAAATTTTCCAAAAAAGTGGTTAAAATTGGTTCAATTTACCGAAAATTGGTGTCAAATTGTAGATAATCTTCCGCTAATTACGATTCTGCAATCGCTGTCATGATATCTGTTCTAATTAACACACAAAGTGAATTCAAAATTTACAAAAATTTTCCAAAAAAGTGGTTAAAATTGGTTCAAGTTACCGAAAATTGCTCTCAAATTGTAGATAATCTTCCGTTAATTACGATTCTGCAATTGTGTAAATTGAACCAATTTTAACCACTTTTTTGAAAATTTTTTGGAAATTTTGAATTCACTTTGAGTGTTAATTAGAACAGATTTCGTGGCGGCGATTTCAGAATCGTAACTAGCGGAAGCTTATCTACAATTTGACACCAATTTTCGGTCCATTAAACCAAATTTAACCACTTTTTTCGGTAAATTGAACCAATTTTAACCACTTTTGGAAAATTTTTGGAAATTTTGGATTCACTTTTCGTGTTTATTGGAGCAGACATCGTGACGGCGATTTTAGATTCGTAACTAGCCGAAGCTTATCTACAATTTGACACCAATTTTCGGCCGATTAAACCAATTTTAACCACTTTTTTGGAAAATTTTTGGAAATTTTGGATTCACTTTCCGTGTTTATTGGAACAGACATCGTGACCCCGATTTCAGATTCGTAACCAGCGGAAGCTTATCTACAATTTGACACCAATTTTCGGTAAATTGAATCAATTTTAACCAGTTTTTGGGAAATTTTTGGAAATTTTGAATTCACTTTGTGTGTTAATTACAACAGAAATCGTGACGGCGATTTCAGATTCGTAACTAATGAAAGATTTATCTACAATTTGACACCAATTTTCCGTAAATTAAACCAATTTTAACCACTTTTTTGGAAAATTTTTGGAAAATTTGAATTCACTTTGTGTGTCAATTAGAACAAATATCGTGACGGCAATTTCAGATTCGTGACTAGCGGAAGTTTATGTACCATTTAACACCATTTTTGGGTAAATCGAAGTAATTTTAACCACTTTTTTGGAAAATTTTTGGAAATTTTGGATTAACTTTACGTGTTTATTGGAGCAGACATCGTGACGGCGATTTTAGATTCGTAACCAGCGGAAGCTTATCTACAATTTCACAACAATTTTCGGTCGATTAAACCAGTTTTAATCACTTTTTTGGAAAATTTTTGGAAATTTTGAATTCATTTCGTGTTTTAATTAGAACAGATATCGTAACGGCGATTTCAGATTCGTAATTAGCGGAAGATCATCAACAATTTGACACCAATTTTCGGTCGATTAAACTAAATTTAACCATTTTTTGGAAAAATTTTTGAAAATTTTGAATTCACTTTGTGTGTTAATTAGAACAGATATCGGGACGGCGATTGCAGAACCGTAACTAGCGGAAGATTATCTACAATTCGACACCAATTTTCGGCCGATTAAACCAATTTTAACCATTTTTTTGGAAAATTTTGAATTCACATCGTGTGTTAATTAGAACAGATATCGTGACGGCGATTTCAGAATCGTAACCAGCGACATTTAATCTACAATTTGGCTCCATTTTTAGGTAAATTGAACCAATTTTAACCACTTTTTTGGAAAATTTTTGGAAATTTTGAATTCACTTTTCGTATTTATTAGAACAGATATCGTGACGGCGATTTCAGATTCGTAACTAGCGGAAGATTATCTACAATTTGACACCAATTTTCGGTCGATTAAACCAAAATTAACCACTTTTTTGGAAAATTTTTGGAAATTTTGAATTCACTTTCTCTGTTAATTAGAACAGATATCGTGACGGCGATTTCAGATTCGTAACTATCCGAAGATTATCTACAATTTGATACCAATTTTCGGCGGATCAAACCAATTTTAACCACTTTTTTGGAAAATTTTTGGAAATTTTGAATTCACTTTGAGTGTTAATTAAAACAGATTTCGTGACGGCGATTTCAGAATCGTAATTAGCGGAAGATTGAACCGGTTTTAACCACTTTTTTGGAAAATTTCTGGAAATTTTGAATTCACTTTTGGTGTTAATTAGAACAGATATCGTGACGGCGACTTCAGAATCGAAACTAACGGAAGATTATCCACAATTTGACACCAGTTTTCGGTCGACTAAACCAATTTTAACCACTTTTTTGGAAAATTTTTGGAAATTTTGAATTCACTTTTCGTGTTTATTAGAACAGATATCGAGACGGCGATTTTAGATTCATAACCAGCGGAAGCTTATCTACAATTTGCCACCAATTTTCGGTCGACTAAACCAATTTTAACCACTTTTTGGAAAATTTTTAGAAATTTTGGATTCACTTTTCGTGTTTGTTGGAGCAGATATCGTGACAGCGATTTTAGATTTGTAACCAGGGGAAGCTTATGTACAATTTGACACCAATTTCCGAGAAATTGAACCAATTTTAACCACTTTTTTAAAAATTTTTAAAAATTTTGAATTGACTTTTCGTCTTTATTGGACGAGATATCGTGACGGCGATTTCAGATTCGTAACCAATGGAAAATTATCCACAATTTGACACCAATCTTAGGTAAATTGAACCAATTTTTACCAATTTTTTGGGAAATTTTTGGAAATTTTGAATTCATTTCGTGTGTTAATCAGAAGAGATATCGTGACAGCGATTACAGAGTCGCAACTAGCGGACGATTTTCTACAATTTGACACCAATTTTCGGTAAATTGAACCAATTTTAACCACTTTTTTGGAAAATTTTTGGAAATTTTGAATTCACTTTGTGTGTTAATTAAAACAGATATCGTGACGGCGATTGCAGAATCGTAACTAGCGGAAGATTATCTACAATTTGACACCAATTTTCGGTCGATTAAACTAATTTTGTCCACTTTTTTAGAAAATTTTTGGAAATTTTGAATTGACTTTTCGTGTTTATTGGAACAGATATCGTGACGGCGATTTTAGATTCGTAACCAGCGGAAGCTTATCTACAATTTGACACCAATTTTCGGTCGATTAAACCAAATTTAACTACTTTTTTGGAAAATTTTTGGAAATTTTGAATTCACTTTGTGTGTTCATTGGAACAGATATCGTGACGGCGATTTCAGATTCGTAACCAGCGACTTATTATCTACAATTTGACACCGTTTTTAGGTATATTGAAGGAATTTTAACCTCTTTTTTGAAAAATTTTTGGAAACTTTGGATTCACTTTTCGTGTTTATTGGAACAGACATCGTGACGGAGATTTAAGATTCGTAACCAGTGGAAGATTATCAACAATTTGACACCAATTTTCGGTTGATTAAACCAATTTTAACCACTTTTTTGGAAAATGTTTGGTAATTTTGAATTTACTTTTGTTGTTTATTGGAACAGATATCGTGAAGGCGATTTCGGATTTGCAATTTGCGGAAGAGTATCTACGATTTGAGACCAATTTTCGGTCGATTGCACAAATTTTAACCATCGGAAAACTAAAATCTTTAAAAATCAAAAAACCAAAGAAATAAGGGCAATTTATTGGGTTGCAGTTCAGGGGCGAGGGAAGTTCTATCAAAATAACCTCCAACCATTTTTTTTATTATTTAAGGTAAATTCACGGATTTGAAATTGCTGGTGAACGCCTTCATCCAAAAAGACAACACTTTCGCTGAACAAGTCGCCAAATTGCAAACCCAGTTCGAGGAATACACCCAACACATGGAAACCGTGCGTGACGACTTAGCCACAATTCTACTACCCTGGTTTCCTGGAAGTACCGTCCACCTGGCAACCGCAAACCTAGACATTCTTAGCAGTTTCCTACACCTGTGTGTAGGTGGAACCGAAACCCACAACTCCGCCATCTTCTTAATCCAAAACGTAATCCGCCAAAGCGGGAAATTCGACAGCGTCAAGATAATCGCAGCGGCCGAAATCTGGTGCAGACACGTCAAAACGCACACTCTATGCCACGTAAACGTCAACGACGTAGTCGTAAAAAGAGCACGACTGATAGAAAATTATATGAACTTGGAGGATAAAGTGTACACTTTGTTGCTAGTGATAACGTACTGGGCGCATTGCTATGAACTAGTGAGTCCCGAGGGCTTATCCACCTATTCGTTGTGTCTTTTGGTAATTTTCTACCTCCAGCAAAAACCATACAAGCTTCCGGCCGTCAAAGATTTGCAGCCGGATTTTAAAACACGTTCGAATTTTCAAAAAGCGTCACTTTTTGACTTGGTGAACGGTTTTTTCAAATTTTACGACAATTTCGACTATCTTTATTTTATGATCACCCCGTATTGCGGCTACGCTATTGAAAAAACGCGGTTTTTGAAACCGTATGACCTGCCGGCGTGCTATTCCGACTATGCTAAGCAACGAAGAGATTTGAGTGTTAACGTAATCATGTGTGTTCAAGATCCTTTTGACCATTGTAAAAACGTGCTACAAGGAGCTTCTGCTTTGTGTGGTGGTAGTTTCGCTTGGAGGTGTAGACACTCTATAATTACTACTTCAGATGAAGATCTTTTGCTCTATAACGTGTTGAATCAACCCCAGTGCCGTAAATTGAGTATAAATAAGGTCGATAATTGTAGTTTAGACGAATGGCTTGCGTGTCTAGAGAGTATCACTCCTGAGGTTTTACGAAAGATTTTTCATTTCACTGTAACCGACGAGGAATGGAAGCCCGAAATTCAGCAAGTTAGTTACAATTGTGCTGCCAACAGCGACGTGTGGAAAGGTAGAATTAGCGTCCTCAAGTCGCTACTGTCGAAATTTCCGGCCGGAATTACCGAAATGGAAAAGGAAATTGCCGTGACGTCACAAACCCTCAAGCGGAACAAAGCAGAAGCTTTCAAAAGAAACATTATTGTCGACCTCATGTATAAAATGAACCCGACTAGAGTGGAAATTGTTGTAAGAGGCTGCGACGTACCGTCCAGGAAACTGGACATGGAGCAGTTTCTTCGCGTGAAGTTAGGACAATTCATCAACGAATCGCTTTGTGGTAAGATCTTCTCCATCTATATTGTCATCTACGTCTTATACTTCTAGACAAAACCCAAAGTACCACTTCTGAACAAGCCGTACCTTCTACTAGTGATTTTTTTGATTCTTCACCAAGTGTATTGTTGAAGCGAAAGACCAAATCTAGATCTTCTGACTCGGGTGATGAACGATCGAGATCTAGATCGTCGAGATCGTCAAGGAGTTTGAAGCGAAATCAGAGAAGCAGCGAATCAAGGTCTAGATCTATCTCGCTCGAAACAAAAAGAGCGAAGCGGGCGCAAAGCGGTAGCGAACATTCTAGTGATCCTTCCAAATCACGTTCTATAGAAAAATCGGCTTCTAGATCGAGATCAAGATCACGTGGAAGAGACACAAGATCTAGATTGTCTGAAGACTCCCAGAAGCAACTCCTCGAACAGAGAAAGTCGTTTTTAGAAGAGGTTCGCGAGACGCTCAAAGAAGTGAGTACACCGGTGGTACCTCTAGCGTCATTTTTAAACGAGTTGAACATTTTCGGACGAAACAAATCACCACCAGGCCGCGTTTTGGGAATCAATGAAGCCAATTTAAGAGTGGTACCTACGGTTGATTCGCTACCAGACCAAACTGAAGTAACCATCACACTATTTCATACTTTAAGTTAAAAGTTTTTTTCAGGTTTTGACAGAAATGGTTTTGGTACTACTAGACGAGGCACGGACTCGAGTTCAAGAACAAAAAGACAAAAGTAGGTAGCGCACGCAAATGTTTTGAGCCTATGGGCGGATCATTTTTGCCGGTCATCACCGAAGGAGGCGGTCCAAATCGTCCAAGGGCAGAATTTGTAGGTAGGCTCAAACTACAACGAAATTTACGTGTTGACCAAATTCTGACCCTGAATTAGTTTTAATTTTATAAATACCCTATCTAAAATGTTCAGAATATGATGAGTCTATACTTGTGATTTACCATTCCATTAATATTTTTTGGATTTGTTTATACATACAGGGTGACTCAAAAAAAAATAATGACTGAGTCAATTTATTTTATTGAAGAAATCAAGAATTGCAAAACTGAATACTTTGAAATCTTGTCAATTAGTTAGAAAAAAAAAACCTGTCCTGCTCTAATAACATCGAGAATATGCTCAAAATCACACTAATATTAGGTCTAATTGTGCCGACCATAGTTATAAAATTCACATTAAAGTAAGTCACGGACTTTTTTTGAAGTGTACTACATTTCAAAAAGCAAAAAAAATGTTTAGTTTATAAACTTCTTAATTTTGGTTTAAAGTTTATCAATCATATTTGACGCTTTATTTTATCCGTTCCGACATCTTTTCGGTGACAAATTTAATCTTTGCATACTTCAGCGTAGTTAGTGAACTCGTTGTGACCACTGAAATATACAAAGAGTAAATTTTGAAATGGAACGAAAGTCGAAGAATACTTTCAAAGCCACGATCAAAATGTATTTGCTTATCTTCGCCAAAAAATGCATGCATTATCGTAAAATTTGATATGATGAGTCTATACCTGTGATTTATCATTGCAGTAATATTTTTTAGATTTATTTATACAGCCTGTCTCAAAAAAAGGTCACTTCGATTTTCGATTTTTCGTTTTTTCGACCAACAGTTTCATCGAATTAGATTTTTCAGTTTCCATTTTTCTATCAACTTTTCGATTTTATTACTTTCTAATTTTCTGATTTTTCAAATTTGCGGTATTTTGATTTTTCGAGTTTTCAGTTTTTTCGTTTTTCGATTTTTTAATTTTTCGTTTTTTTGATTTTTCGATGTTTCGATTTTTTAATTTGCCATTCTTCCAATTTTCGATTTTTCGTCTTTCCATTTTTAGATTTTTTGATTTTTCTGTTCGTCAGTTTTTAGACTTTGCAATTTTTTTGCATTTTTCGATTATATTTTACTTTCCGATTTTTTTGATTTTTTAATTCTCGATTTTACGTTTTTAATTCTTCGATTTCCGATTTTTCAATTTTCCGGTTTTTTAATTATTCTATTCTCGATTTTTCGATTTTCCATTAATCATAAAATTTTTCGATTTTTCGGTTGTTTTATTTTTCGACCTTCGATTTTTCAACTTTCGATTATTCGATTTTCCATTTTCTGATTTTACGATTTTTCGATTTGCGATTTTTCGATTTTCGTTTTTCCGCTTTTGTGGTTTTTCGATTTTTCTGTTTGTTTCAGTTTTTATGGTTCTGCAATTTGCAGCTTTTAGATTTCAATTTTGTGACTTTCCGATTTTCCACTTTTCGATTTTTTGATTTTTTTCCGATCGTCGTTTTTTCGATTTTTTGATTTTTCAATTTTTAGGCCTTGCAATTTTTTTACTTTTTGCTTTTTCGAGTATTTGTTTCATCGAATTTTCGAGTTTTCGATTTTCGATTTTTCGCTTTTTCCATTTTCCGATTTTCGATTTTTCGATTTTCCATGTTTAGATATTTTTCGATTGTTCTGTTCGTCAGTTTTTAGGCTTTGCAATTTGTCTACTTTTCGATTTTTCGATTATTTTTTTCCAGTTTTTTGATTTTTGAATTGTCGACTTTTAGAATTTTCAATATTATGAATTTTCGAATTTTCGGTTTTCCTATTTTTCGATTTTTGATTTTTCCATTTTTCGGTTTTTTGATTTTTCAATTCTCGGTTTTTCAATCTTGCAAATTTTCGATTTTTCAGATTTGTGAATTTCCAGTTTTTCGATCGACCTACGTAGATTCATTGAATTTTCGATTTTCGATTTTTCCATTTTTAGATTTTTAATTTTCCAGTTTTGTATTTTCAGATTTTCTGTTTTTCGCATATCTGATTTATCAAATTTTCGATTTTTCGATATTTGATTTTCGAATTTTCGATTGTTCAGTTTTCCATTTTTCAGCTTTTAGACTTCAATTTTTTTACTTTCCGATTTTCCAAATTTTCGAGTTTCAATTTTCAGATTTTTGATTTTTCGATTTTCTTTTAAAATCTTTGAATTTTTCGGTTTTGATTTTTCGAATTTTTGATTTTTAATTTTTCCATTCTTCGGTTTTTAGACTTCAATTTTCTTTCTTTTAAATTTTTCGATATTCTATTTTCCGCTTTTCAGAATTTTCGATTTTCAGTTTTCAGACTTTCGATGATTAGAATTTTGAATTTTTCGGTTTTATGATTTTTCGATTTTTAGAAAATTTGAGTAGTCGAATTTTCGATTTGTCAATTCATCGATTTTTCTATGTTCAATTTTTCAATTTAAATTTTGCGATTGTCGATTTTTAGAATTTTCGGTTTTTCAATTTTTCCATTCTCAATTGTTAGACTTCAATTTTGTTACTTTCCGATTTTTTGGTTTTCGATTTTCCAATTTTCAGAATTTTCAAGTTTTTTTATTCAGATTTTCGATTTTCCACTTTTTCGATTTTAGATTTTTCGAATTTTTGTTTTTCCAATTTTTTGCTTTTTCGATTTTTCTGTTTGTCAGTTTTTAGACTGTGCAATTTTTTTGCATTTTTCGACTATATTTTACTTTCCGATTTTTCAATTTTCCGGTTTTTTAATTATTCTATTCTCGATTTTCGATTTTCCATTAATCATAAAATTTTTCGATTTTTCGGTTGTTTTATTTTTCGATCTTCGATTTTTCAACTTTCGATTATTCGATTTTCCACTTTTTGATTTTACGATTTTTCGATTTTTCTGTTCGTCAGTTTTTAGGCTTTGCAATTTGTTTACTTTTCGATTTTTCGATTATTTTTTTCCAGTTTTTTGATTTTTGAATTGTCGACTTTTAGAGTTTTCAATTTTCGAATTTTCGGTTTTCCTATTTTTCGATTTTTGATTTTTCCATTTTTCGGTTTTTTGATTTTTCAATGCTCGGTTTTTCAATCTTGCAAATTTTCGATTTTTCAGATTTGTGAATTTCCAGTTTTTCGATCGCCATACGTATTAGATTCATTGAATTTTCGATTTTCGGTTTTTCCATTTTTAGATTTTTAATTTTCCAGTTTTGTATTTTCAGATTTTCTGTTTTTCGCATATCTGATTTATCAAATTTTCGATTTTTCGGCTTTTCGATTTTTCGATATTTGATTTTCGAATTTTCGATTGTTCAGTTTTCCATTTTTCAGCTTTTAGACTTCAATTTTTTTATTTTTCGATTTTCCAAATTTTCGAGTTTCAATTTTCAGATTTTTGATTTTTCGATTTTCTTTTTAAATCTTTGAATTTTTCGGTTTTGATTTTTCGAATTTTTGATTTTTAATTTTTCCATTCTTCGGTTTTTAGACTTCAATTTTCTTTCTTTTAAATTTTTCGATATTCTATTTTCCGCTTTTCAGAATTTTCGATTTTCAGTTTTCAGACTTTCGATGATTAGAATTTTGGATTTTTCAGTTTTATGATTTTTCGATTTTTAGAAAATTTGAGTAGTCGAATTTTCGATTTGTCAATTCATCGATTTTTCTATGTTCAATTTTTCAATTTAAATTTTGCGATTGCCAATTTTCAACTTTCCGAGTTTTCGTTTTTGGACTATTTTGATTTCTCCATTTTTTTATTTTTCAAATTTGCGACTTCGATTTTTGATATTTCAATTTTTTATTTTTCGATGTTTCGATTTGTAGATTTTTCAAATGTTCGATATTTTCGATTTTCAGATTTTCCAATTTTTTAATGCTCCGATTTTTCAATTTCCGAATTTTTCCTCATTTTATTTTTGGAAATTTTCAGTTTTCCAAGTCTTCAGTTTACCGTATTTTCAAATTTCAGATTTTTAAAATTTTCGAGTTTTCGATTTCCCGATTTTTTTATCTTTTAAATCTTTGAATTTTTCGGTTTTGATTTTTCAAATTTTTGATTTTTAATTTTTCCATTCTTCGGTTTTTAGACTTCAATTTTCTTTCTTTTAAATTTTTCGATATTCTATTTTCCGCTTTTCAGAATTTTCGATTTTCAGTTTTCAGACTTTCGATGATTAGAATTTTGGATTTTTCAGTTTTATGATTTTTCGATTTTTAGAAAATTTGAGTAGTCGAATTTTCGATTTGTCAATTCATCGATTTTTCTATGTTCAATTTTTCAATTTAAATTTTGCGATTGTCAATTTGTCCATTGTCGATTTTTAGAATTTTCGGTTTTTCAATTTTTCCATTCTCAACTGTTAGACTTCAATTTTGTTGCTTTCCGATTTTTTGGTTTCGATTTTCCAATTTTCAGAATTTCCAAGTTTTTTTATTCAGATTTTCGATTTTCCACTTTTTCGATTTTAGATTTTTCGAATTTTTGTTTTTCCAATTTTTTGCTTTTTCGATTTTTCTGTTCGTTTCAGTTTTTAGACTTTGCAATTTTTTTACTTTATATATTTTGATTATTTTAATTTCCGATTTTTTTAATTTTTGTTTTTGATTTTTTTAATTTTCAATATTACAAATTTTTGACTTTTCGATTTTTTGGTTTTCCCGTTTTTCAATTTTCGATTTTTGAGGTTTGTGAATTTCCACTTTTCGATCGACCTAGGTATTTGATTCATTGAATTTTCGATTTTTTGATTAGCCATTTTTAGATTTTCGATTTTTACGATTTGTATTTTTCGATTTTCTGTTTTTTGCATTAGTGAATTTCAGTTTTTCCGATTTTTGATTTTGCGCATATTTGATTAATCAAATTTTCGAAAAAGTTATCATGCTTACAAAAACTTCAAAACATCTACAATTTTTCAAAGTATTCAGTTTTGCTATTCTTGATTTCTTCAATAAAATAAATTGAATCAGTCATTAACTTTTTTGAGACACCCTGTATAACCAAATCTAAAAAATATTAATGCAGTGATAAATCACAAGTATAAAACTCATCATATTTTATACATTTAAGATAGGATTTATTCTGCAAAATTTTGAGGTGACGTCATAAATTTTTTAGAGAGGATAAGCAAATATATTTTAATTAAAAATGTATCATGTTTATCGTGATTTTAAAACATCTGCAAGATTTCAAAGTATTCGATTTTGCAAATTCAAAATTAAATTGCAAAATATTGTTTTATAATTTTGATTTTTTTTCCAAAAATCTGGACGTTTCGGATAAAAACTCAACACGGAGTCATAAACTACATGTGTAGGACTATGTTACTGTATACAATTTAAAACCCATTTACTATGCATAAATTTGAAGTGAAGTCATCACATTATTGGTGGGGATGATTAGACAAATTTAATAATTTTGCGACATTTATGAAAAAAATATCAGTTAACAAAAATGGCACGTTTTTATTATTATGCCAGTTACATGTCACTCAACGACAATATCGTTTTTTTTAAGAGTATTTTATTTGAAAAAGTGATGAAATTTTTTATACGGAACAATTGGTCGAAAGATGTTAGAAAGCAAAATAATTCATGTCCGGACCATCGTTACTCACGAACGAAAGTGACCATTATTTTATGGGAACAACTACCTGCTAAATCTTCTCCGACAAATTCCAGAGAACTGGTGTGAGCCATAAATATTTCTTACCAAATGTATATATAACTACTGTCCGTCCCGTTATTGTCAATAAAATTTTATAGGTGAGGGCAGGCAAAAACGATCCGCGCATAGGCTCAAAACATTTGCGTGCGATTGTACTCCAGTGACTTTACTAAGTAAGTTTTAGTAATGTTGCAGTGCCTGAAGACGCTCAATGTGATGACCTTTCAAACTTCCAAGCCACTTCGAGTGGTACCACCACGTCAACCCCGCACCAAGCCACCAGGACACCCATCACCACTGTTAAAGTCGCAGAAAAAGTTCAAGTTTACGTTCGTGTCGCAAAAAAACTGTGTCAATAGATTTGAGAGGATCCTCCTCCAGATTCTACGGGCACTGGGTATTTGTAGCGAGTCGGACGACATTTCGGAGGTTATGGACGAGGTTGTTGAGGCTTTGGGTTCTAAAGACGGTGTCGACAAGGAGACGGCTGCAAAAATTTTGCAGATTTCGTTATTAGGGGCAATGGAAGGTTTTAAATCCCCGGAAATGGTAGACGTGGGGACGCAATGTTGTATGGAAAAGAAAGGTACTGAAGCATGGGTACTCCGTGATCCTAGAAGGGCTTCTATGTTCTATATGGAAACGGAAAATGGTAAAACTGGAAATTCACGTGTCGTGTTAGAGCAACTACAACTCAAAGAGATGTCGTACTAAGACTGGTTAGAATTACCAAAGAACTGTCACTTGCAGTATTACGTTTAGGTATAATTGTTACAAACAAAGTTTCATATTTTTTTATTGTTGCCACTGAAATAGTTTAAGTTAATAAACCTTTTGCGAAAACCTTGTGTCCATTATTCCAAGTACTGCCAGTACCTTCTGAAAATTTGAAGATCTCCGTGTGTGATCACGATTTACCTACATTTCGCCAAACTTATCGGTTATCGTCCTCAAAAAATCTAGGTGAATGTTATAATTCGGTACCACTCATCCGTAACTCCATTGTATGCGAAATTTATCAGATCTGGGTATTTATACAATGCACCTTGAACCCTTCAAGCAAAAGAATGACTGATATCGAGTTTTGATTGGGAGCAACGAACCCCGATCTTCAGGTACTACCTACTATAGTGGGACTACCGACTTTTTTTCCCCGATCATTATTAAAATTAGCGAATTACTTGTCAAGGTAAACAACAATGATTTCAGTTATACAACTGCAGTTTTTTCCGAATGCTTTAAAACGGAACTCTTGCGAGTTGACTGACTCCTCATGACAATGATTACGATTACCTCTCAAGGATAACGACTCAAATATTATATAAAAGAATTGCATCAAAACAAATGGAGTTCAAACTCCCGATAAGTACCGGAGCCATAGAGATTACACCTGATAATTACACGTGATAAATTGTATAAAAATTGGCACCACGGGAGATTTTGCTAAGTCGAATTGAGATGTTGCGAGTAGTACTGGTGGTGATCCTAGTAGGAGCACAGTGTCGTGCTCAAAAAAGCTTCTTTAAAGCTCTTGGTGATGTGGGGCTCGATTTGACACCGAAATGCCAGGAACAGGTTGAGGAGTTAGTGGCGAATTTTGGCTTAGATGAATCTTCATGGGCGCTTCAAAGTAAGTACGACTTTATGGAGTTTTCGTCTTTATTGTTTTGTTAGTGGTGGATGCAACGTCGAAGGTGCCTTCTGGTCTGCTGAACTACAATTTTGGCGAAATGGGGGACTTTCAAGAGTGCGTTGGCACTCAAGGGAGTGGAGACATCGTGGGGAAGTACTGTCTCGGGTACCTTTCCTTTCCTAATGGAACGTTCAACGCTTCTGGTGTGGGTACTGGGTCTATGGTTTCAGCGGCACCTGCGTGGGCGTTGTGTCTACCAAGTGGCTGCACCACTGAAGATATGAATGTCGTTGGAAATGCGGTACTATCGCAGCTGCTACAAGACCTAGACGTGAGAGTCGATTTTTCTGATCTTTTGTGTCAGACTATGGACGACGTTGATCCTAAACTGACTGCCGGAGCAATAGCAGCAATGTATGTTCACTTTCCAAACGTACCCAAAAGTACTAATTGTATTTATAGAGTTGTCTTGGTGTTGTTGGGTACCACCGTTCTAGTGTCAACTTTGTACGACATTTACAGCACATTTTACGTGAACCGTGAGTACCACCAAAATTACGTACTTTTGAATATAACGCCTCTTATAGAATCCAGTCCAATGATAATCAAAGGTTTCTCGGTTTACACCAATGGACAGAAGATTTTTAAAATGACCACGCCCACGGCTGATCAGCTTCCGTGTCTGAACGGTTTGAAATTCATTAGTATGATGTGGGTAGTAGCCGGGCACCAGTTTTCAATCCCCATGTACGGATCATTAACCAACACCAAATACCTCATACAGTGGGCGGATCACCTCTACAGCATGTTTCTAATAAGTGGTACCCTATCCGTAGACACGTTTTTCACGGTCGGTGGGGCCTTAATGTCGTACGGTTTCATGAAAGCGATGCATAAAAAAGTCCCTTTTAATTTATTTTTATATTATCTTCATCGGTACCTCAGGTACGACAATTTTTTACGGTTAGAGTGAGATTGTAATGTCATTGTAGATTAACAGCGCCGTTCGCTCTAGTGGTACTGTTCAGTGCCACCCTTCTCAAGTATATGGGATCGGGGCCAAAGTGGCCCCTCATTTCGCTCTACTTTCAGCAAAACTGCCAAGATTATTGGTGGTCGGCACTTTTGTATGTACAAAATTACGTCAACGTTTCAAATATGGTAAGTACTGTCTGCTTCGGTAGTACTTTCGACTAACCCTTAATTTAGTGCGTGGGCCAAACCTGGTACCTTAACATCGACATGCAGCTGTACATCGTTTCTCCTGTCGTACTTTTCGGTCTGTGGAAGTACCCTAAGTTCTGTCTGCCAATTCTAGGACTATGTAGTTTAGTGTTTATGGGGGTTTCATTCTATGAAGCATGGGACAACGACTTACCAGCTATTTTATCCAATTTATACACGTATGTAATGCCACTTTTTCCAGTACTGTAGGTACTTATTAAAATTTCCAGTACTCATGCCACTGACTATCAAAACGAGTACTACCTGCTGACGCACACTAGAGCCACTCCATGGGTGGTCGGAGTGGTCTTGGGTTTCTTCCTTTTTAAAATCAAACAAAAGGAAATCACTTTGGAACTTAATCAATGGGTTGTTTTGGTGGCATGGGGCGCTTGTTTCGCCACTCTATTGGCTTGTGTGTTAGGTGGACATAGTACTCTGCGTAGTCCCGAGTACGACCGCTGGGGTAACGTTCTACATATAACTTTGGTACGACCTTTGTGGTCTGTGGCAATCGCGTGGATTATTCTAGCCTGTTGCAATGATTATGGAGGTGAGTGGTCTTAATTTCCAAGTACCCACGAGTTTTCAAAGTACTATTTCAGGTCCGGTCAACTGGATCCTCTCCCTTCCTATATTTCAAGTACTTAACAGATTCACCTACGGTATTTACTTAACCCACGTGACGTTCTTATACGTTATTGCGTACGGAAGACACTGGCCTGATTATTTTGGCGGGTTTAATATGGTAAGTACTAGTTTGGTACCCAAATTGTCGCTAATGTGTGACTTGACCAGGCGTACCAGTTCTGGGGTACTCTCTGGTTTAGTACCGGCCTCGCCGCTCTGCTCGTGTTTATGACCGAATCTCCCATGATAGTCGTAGAGAAAATTCTGTTGGGTATTGTTGACACAGTTTGTTTTTGTATGTGGATAATGAGGGGTTTTCAGGTAATTTCGGCAAGAAAAAGAAGTCGTCGCCGAAGGCTGACCCGGAAAGAGGCGTCGATAATGCAGCATATGAAAGATAATTAGTAATAATAGTATTGACAGTGTACCATGACAATAATAATAAATATTTAGATGCATATCTTTTCTGTTTTATTTTTTAAAAACGTGAAATAAAAAAAAAACAGTTTAAGTGTGTATAGGTGGATTCATAAACCACAATTTTTTCCACAAACGTACAAAACATACTGTAACATAGATAATAATATATCGTTATCACCGGAAAAAACATCAAAATACAATATATAAAGTAGAGATAACTCACTCACCTACATTTTGACCTAGAAACCTTATCGGTTATTGTCCGCATTAAAATATAGGTGAATGTTACATTATCACGTAACAGGTGCGTTGTTTTGAACGCTCGTCCTTGACTACGTCAGAGAGCAACGACCCATCTATACTTCTATAAATCGTTATCATCACGATCGCCATTTTAGAGCTTTGTTTTAAACCTATTCAATTTCGGGACAATGAACTCCAAATGCACTTGTCTTATTTTTTAACTTAAGTTATCTAAAGTGCATCTAAGCCAGTTTAGTGACCCTAAATTTTTTGCGTCAACACATTTTTTCAGCCTTTCAAGGGTAACCACTTAGTAACATTTACTCAGACCAGAGTTCAAATTTTTCGTAATGAGTAACAATGGTTGAATGCATTCAAATGAACTCTGGTAAATGGTAAAATGGGTTCAAATTTCAAACTTCGTCGAGTAGCTGAGCCAATCGAAATGAACATTTTTTCATAAATCGCGATTCCGCCAAGCCAGATATCTAAATCTGATAACCTTTAGAAACACTACAAAAGTTTGTTTCGTCAATTTTGTGCGTGATCGAAAATGTTGTGGCTAGTACTCGTAGTACTCGTCTGGCACTTGGTTGCTGCCGAGAAAACCGTTTTCAAAGATTTGTAAAATCTGCACCCCACACCAAAATGTCAACAGCAGTTGGGTGAATTTGTAACAAATTGGGCTTTAAAAAATGAAAATTTGTGTAAGTACCACCAAAATCACCTTTTTTGTGTTACCATTTTGTTTAGTGGCGAAAATTGAAGGCATTGACAAAATAGTTGATATGTTTATGTTGAAATTAACTTGGTAAAGTGATAGACTTTTATTAACGAATAAAATAAATCTAAGCACAATTCTTTTTTATTGTTCAAAATGGTATTCTCTTCGTGGTTTTCATACCACACTCCAAATATTGGTTTCAGTTTCATCCGATGTTTATATCAATCAGTTCTTCTTACATTGTTTTACGGACGAGCTGTATTTATAATTTCGGCAACCAATATTCCACTTCGTTTCAAAAATCCCGCTCAATAAAAACGGTTGGGTAAGGACACGTTGTTCCAATGTTTGACGAGCTGTCCCTACTGTATGGTTGTACTGTGGTGAGGTCGAGAACATTCGAGTAACTTCGGGTAAGTGTCGCCACGTATAGTATAGTTTAGTATATAGTCTTTGCCATTTCTATTGAAACACCACTTGTTAATAATAAATTTGGCAGCGTTCATATTTAAATAATTTTCTAACTAAAAGCCGTTGTCAATCAACCGAAAGCTGTTATCAATTGCTAAATTTTAAGCAAAATCAACAGGTGGTGTTTCAATAGAAATGGCAAAGACAATAAGTGCGGACTCTGTAAAAGCTCTCTACTTTTAGTCGTCGTGGCAGTAGGAACTTAGGAAGTGTAAACTTGTACATATATAAACTAATAATAAATAAGGTTGACTACATGGTGTATAGTTTTTCTTAACAGATATTCGTTCTATAATGGTTAAATTGTGTGATTAGAAGTGGTCTTCTTGATGCAAAAGTGTGTTGTGTCGCAAATTACATGTGCGACAGTTATATTTTGATTAACACTCAAATACATAGTGTTTTTTGAAGGAATTCGAACAAAGTTTTAGATTTTCAATTTGTTTCATTCTGTCATTAATAGTGAGTTGTATGAATTCACTACACTGATGATTCTTTTTACAATGGTAACAGGAACTTGTTTTAACTACGGATGCACAAAAGATTGGGTCTTATTCGTTTGTTTTACGTGATATTTTTCTTTTGTAAATGAAGAATTAAAAGATATGTTTCTACAAAGTCGTAGCTTCGAAATAACGGGCACGTGTTTCTAAAAATTCCAAAAAGTCTGAAAGTTTGGGTAAATTTGTTGTTAATTTTGTTTGCCATTCTTTGCTAGAATGAAAATCTAATTTTTCAGATATGTAGGTAAGGGAAGAAAAATGTTGCTCCTCTGGTGGGAATCGAACCGCACGTTTACCGCTTGAATAATATCCCATTGTTCTATGGGCACTTCTAAAACCTTGAGCGCTTCTACATTGATCTTGATATCATCAATCAATTTTCTGAGAGCTTCGTAGGAAGTCTTTGATATCAGAGGTGAATTTAAAATATCACTTGCGATGAATTCGGTCAACACACTGATAAGCACTATCAACGGGCTCATAACTCGCATGATCAAGATATGGCGCTTTGTATCGGACTTGATGGACCAAAAATGGTGCGGCCGTAATGAACAAGAAATAAAAGAAGTGGACGGTACTGTTTTTGCTTTATTGTCCATACAGCTGGACTGGTACCTAACGACTACTTAACAACTAAGAAAAATAATTTTATATAAAATTAGAGAGGCGATCTGTCCGTTCACTCCTTCATGGCACGAGCCATCGATAGATGCGGCCGCTTAGAGAACCGCCGCCGACAAAGAAGCAAGCCGCCACCAGCTGCGGCCGCCGGATAGCGGCTGCGCGACAAAGAGTGCCGCCGACGGAGAAGCTGTCGGTGACACAAGTCGTACTAGCCACTATAATAGTTTAAGTATAAAATAAAACATTTTGCCCATACCTTGTGTTCATTATTTCAAGTACAGGCAGTACCTTCTGAAAATTTGAAGATCGTCTTAGTTTTTGATCATGCATATGTGATCACTGATCACCGTTTTATCTTATCGATCAATTATTATCGGTTATACCATCACGCCCAAAAAAATGTCACCTGCTCATGTCATCAATTTTTGTTTAATTTTTCAATTCTATTTGTTAAATTTATTTTGTGTCTGCTTTAGAATGAACGCCTCTGATTTGCTGACGTCTTTATTTAACATCAACGTGACAGAGAAATTGCGCTTACAATAGAAAAATGAAATAAAAATCGATAACATGAGCAGATTAGGTGTTTCCGTTTGTTTGGTCGTTATAGTAAAACCGATAACCGATAAGCTTCAAATGCTAACTTGATCACTAATCACCGTTTCATTTTATCGGTTGTAAGTACCACTCATCCGTAACTCATCTGTATGCAAAATTTTATTTTAAATTGTCTAAATACCCAGATGCGAATCAGAATAAACCTAGAAGCGGCGTTCGAGATCCATCTAGAGGAATGCGGGGATTTAAATAGGGACCACCGTCGGGAACCATGATTATTCAGCTAGTGGAATCAAGAGCGTCCAGTAAATAATCCTTGTCGTGTATATTCGAGTCAGTAAGAAATAAATTGTTGAGTTTTAATTCACGCCAGATTTTATTCACCCAGTCAAAGTAACAATGTTACAGTTTTCAACGAAACAAGTAGAGTTCGAACTCTTGACAATATGATAATAACCTAATCCCCACTTGATAAGTGAGATTATCTAAAAATTGGCGCACCCGGCACACTTTGCCAAGTCGGATTGATTGAGATGTTGCGGGTAGTACTGATGGTGGTGATCCTTTTACGACCAGAGTGTTGTGCTCAAAAAAGCATATTTAAAGTTCTTGGTGATAAGGGGCTCAATTTGACATCGAAATGCCGACAACAGGTTAACGAGTTAATGGCGAACTTTGCCATAAATGCATCATCATGGGCGCTTCAAAGTAAGTACGACTTTATGCAGTTTTCGTCTTCATTGTTTTGTTAGTGGTGGATGCCACGTCGAAGGTACCTTCGGGTCTACTGAACTACAATTTTGGCGAAATGGGGGATTTTCAAGGCTGCGTAAGTACTCAAGGGAGTGGCGAAATTGTGGGAAAGTACTGTCTCGGGTACCTTTCCTTCTCTAATGGAACGTTCAACGCTCCTGGTGTGGGTACTGGGTCGATGCTTCCTGTGGCACCCACATGGGCCTTATGTCTACCAAGTGGCTGCACCACTGAAGACATGAATGTCGTTGGAAATACGGTACTAAGGCAGCTGCTACAAGACATAGAAGTGAGAGTCGATTTTTCTGATCTTCTGTGTCAGACTATTGACGACGTTAATCCTGAACTGACTGACGGCGCAATAGCAGCAATGTATGTTTACTTTCCAAACTTACCCAAAAGTTCTAATTGTTTTTATAGAGTTGTCTTGGTGTTGTTGGGTACCACCGTCCTAGTGTCAACTTTATATGATATTTACAGCACATTTTACGGGAACCGTGAGTACCACCAAACTTACGTACTTTTGAATACAACGCCTCTTGTAGAATCCAGTCCAATGATAATCAAAGGTTTCTCGGTTTACACCAATGGACAGAAGATTTTTAAAATGACCACGCCCACGGCTGATCAGCTTCCTTGTTTGAACGGTTTGAAATTCATTAGTATGATGTGGGCAGTGGCCGGGCACCAGTTTTTAATCCCCATGTTTGGATCATTGACCAACATCAAATACCTCATACAGTGGACGGATCACCCCTACAGCATGTGTCTAATAAGTAGTACCCTATCCGTAGACACGTTTTTCACGATCACTGGCGCTTTAACGTCGTACACTTTCATGACAGAGATGCATGAAAAACGCCCTTTCAATTTATTTCGATATTTTCTTCATCGGTACCTCAGGTACGACAATTTTTTATGATAATAGTGAGATTGTAATGTCATTGTAGATTAACAGCGCCGTTCGCTCTAGTGGTACTGTTCAGTGCCACCCTTCTCAAGTATATGGGATCGGGGCCAAAGTGGCCCCTCATTTCACTCTACTTTCAGCAAAATTGCGAAGATTATTGGTGGTCGACACTTTTGTATGTACAAAATTACGTGAACGTTTCAAATATGGTAAGTACTGTCTGCTTCGGTAGTACTTTCGACTAACGCCTAATT